ATGGATCCCCAGGCTCATCCCAGAGCTGGTCAGTGGCCACAGCCTCCAAGGCTGGGAAGGGGATGTCTTTTGGTTAAAGGCCAGGCCGATATTTAACCTGAATGTACCAACACTGCTGTATCAGTTCTGATAATACTGAAATACTGGAAATATTGAAAGGCTGATTGATAAATAGCCCCAGGCCCTCTGAACCTCCTCTTTCCACCACTCACCCACTTCTTACCTTGCCAGCTCCTTGCCTCCCCACTCCCCCCCGAACTCCACTCCCCCCACCCCCGCCATGATCTGGCAACCACAGAGTTAACTCCCAGCAGAGCTAAACCTGCTACTCCTTCTGATTGGTCAGTGAGCTGTACCTGAGCCGAAGTGATTAGAAATATCTTGACTCCCATACCCGGTTGCAGGGAACGTGCCTACTTGGATGGGCATAAGCACCAAGGACACAGGGGACACAAAGGGCACAGGAAGAGTCAATGGAATTGGAGGACAGGATGCCAAGCCCCGGGGTGACTGGAACCAGGAGCTCCATCCCTTGGGGCATGTGGCCTGTTGTCTTTGTTCCTCTGTGTTCCTTGGAGCCCACTGTAAAAAAGGGCCACTTCAGCCCTGGAGCTGCCTGTGTTCCTGACTGCTGGTGTCCCATTCACTAAACATGTGAGTCATTTGAGCCAAGCTCCTACCTCTCCAGTAGTCATCTGTGTCCGGGAGAGTGGGCCGTCTCGAAGCACAAACCCATCCATCTCATAGGCGGCACTGGGCATGAGCAGGCACCCTTTAAGATTCTCCTTGAGAATCCTAGAGTCATGGGGCCCCCTGCTGTGGGACTGTGGCTTTATCCCAAGTTCTCCCAGGTAGCAAGAAGGAGGAGGGCAGAAGTGAACAGAGGATGACCTGATTGGTCTGGAGGGTCTGAGGGATGGGTGTGTGTGTGTTGGGGTGGGGGGGCTGGTACAACTTGAACCCTCCTGAAAGCCTGGGCCGGGGTAGGGGGGGGCAAGGTTGGAGGGATCTGCAACGGCTTCTAAATAAACCAGAAACAAACTTTCCCCTGCAACGTGCTCAGTTGGCCTTCCTTTCTCCTGTCTGGCTATAATCTGCCTTGTATAGGGCTCTCCAAGTCATTTTCTAGAACAGCACATGCATGGCTCAGGGCCTTCCAGTGGTTAGCAGCAATGACAACAGCCCCCAGCTGCCACCGCAACTCAAACCTCTCCATGTGCACCAGCCACTGTGCGAACTGCTGGGCTTGCTGAGGCTGGGGAGCTGGGGGCAAGTCCCTGTGCCCCTCGGTCCTCATCTGTGAAATGGGTGTAGTAAAGTACATACTTCCGAGGGATGTTAGAAGGATGAAATGAGTTAAAGCCTGCCTGGTAAATCCCTGAAAGACAGTTCCTGTGTGAGTAAATGCTTAATAAATACGAACTCTCGCTCATTTATTGAGCACCTTCTATATGCCAAGTACAGTATACGCCCGGAGCAAAATTCCCTTATGTTGCTTGTAACTGAGCATCAGAGAGATGAAATTAACACATGTAATCACAATCCAATGATTTAAATGCCATGATGGAGAAGATCTGGGAGGGCAGGATATTGGTGGGGTTTCTTTGTTTGTTTCTCTCTGCCATTAGAATGTGAATTCAGTGAGAGCAAGCATTCTGGCTCCTTGCTCACACTCGTATCCCCCGTGTCTAGAAAGACCCTGGCTCTCAGTAAAACATTTGCTGGGTGAATGAGTGAAGGAAGGAAGGAAGTGCCACTGCAGCTGGACTGGAACAGAAGCACATTAATGAAGTTGGGGAGGGAGGAGAGAAGGGAGGGAAGCTGGGTGTGTCCCAGATTCAGAGCCAGGCAGAGCTGGCTCTGAATCCCAGCTCAGCAGTGGGCCAGCTGGGTGACCTGGGGGAAAATCTCTGTCTCCCTAGTCTGGGCCCATTTCACTGTCACTAAGATGGGAACGAATAACACCTTCCAAATGAAATATCATGAGGACCGGAGAAAGTGCCTGAGAGACACCCAGCATACACTGGGCAGCTCTCAGGAAATGTTTCATTTACCTTCCCATTCTTTTTCTTTCTTTCTTTTTTTTTTTTTTAAGATTATTTATTTATTTGACAGATTATTTATTTATTTATTGTGACAGAGATCACAAGTAGGCAAAGAGGCAGGCAGAGAGAGAGAGGAAGGGAAGTAGGCTCCCTGCTGAACAGAGAGCCCGATGTGGGGCTTGATCCCAGGACCCAGGGATCATGACCTGAGCTGAAGGCAGAGGCTTTAACCCACTGAGCCACCCACACGTCCCTTACCTTCCCATTCTTTGTGCCACCCGGCATCTCCTCTTGTTGAAGAGACATGATGGGGAAGAGAAGGTTCTTGGTACTATCTAGTCAGAAATGCTCAAATCCTTCTCCCTGAGATATTCCAAGGAGATGTATATGTGGAAGAAAGGAAACCCAGCAAAGAGGTCATTTATTATTAGTCGGGATTTCGTCCCAAATCTCCAGGTCGAGCTCATGAGTCCCTTGGAGACTCCCTTTTTCTATATACTAGGTATGCCTAAGGAAATGTAAACCATAATCAAAACAAATTCTTGGCTATACTCCAAGGTCCACATATCAGGGAACTAGAAAAGAGCACAAAAGCCAAGGAGAGAAAGAGAAGTTGCCACAGGGTTTGGGGCTGAGCTGACCCAGGCCACTCATCCCAACACTTTCAGGGCTGGACCATGGGATTTGAAGCCAGCAGCCTCCCGGGAGCGAGAGAGCTACCAGAGAGAAAGAGAAAGATGGCAGGTGCGCCTTTACACACGTGTGCAAGCTCCACCCACTGAGGCGGGGCCAATCAGTGCCTTGGAATCTGACCAACCAGATCTGCTCTCCTACCTCGCCTGGAGCGGGGAGTGAGAGCAGCCCCGAACTCCCCCTACAGGCCAACAGCGGTCATAAACAGGTATTTCCTTGGGGGAGGATTGGAGGCACTCCTCAGCTCTAAGGTGAGCGCCCCAAAAGCCTTCAATGATGGAAGATTTTTTTAGCCAGGCTTACATTGAGATATTGTTTTCATGCAGGGGAAATTCACCTTTTTTTTTTTTTTTACATACAGTAAAATTCAGTACAGTTTATATATAGAACATTTCAGGAAAAAACACTCAACACTTTAATAGCACATAATGTAATATCTACTTATTGTGTGTATTTATTTTCACTTGTTTATTTTCTGTCTGTTACCAGAACATCAGGTTCAAGTAAACACACGATGAGCTGAACGAATGAGGGAAGAGAGGGGTAGCATATAGCAAAGACCGTTGTGTCAGATCAGCCCTGGGTGGGAATCCCAGGTCCATGCTCTCCAGCCTCTGCTGCACATTGTTGCACAGAGAAAGCAACTTTCAGGCTGGCTTTGGGACAGGTGGAGATACTCACCACTATACTAATGAGGACAAGCCCTTGGGCTGGCTTTGGGAAAGAGAAGGAGCTCTGTAGTTAGGCCAGTGATGGAAGAGCAACTCTTGAGTAAGAAAGATAACATGCAGAGCCAGAGGGGCATGTCTGGGGGGGGCATGAATGAGTCCTGTGTCCTGAGAACAGAGTGTGTGTTTGGGGAGACATAGCTGAGGTTATAAGGGAGATGTAATAATAATGCAAGAGCTTATACCACTTATGGGCTGCCAGGTGGTTCTATGATTTCTACACAGATTAATCCATTTATTCCCAGTGGGCTAATAAGCTTGTAGCATTGCCATTACCTTTATTTTATTTTATTATCATTTTTAAAGATTTTATTTTTTTGTTTGAAAGAGAGAGCATGAAAGAGAGTGAGAGCACAAGCAGCGAGGAGGGGTAGAGAGAGAAGCAGACTCCCCGCCGAGAAAGGAGCCTGACATGGGGCTCGATCTGAGGACCCTGGGTTCATGACCTGAGTTGAAGGCAGACGCTGAACCACTGAGCCACCCAGCACACCCATTACCTCCATTTTATAGACAAGGACACTGAAGCACAAAGAGATTAAGTAACTTGCCCGAAGTCATACAGCTGAGAAGAACCCAGATTATGCTCCAAAGTCTGTACCTTGAAGCTCTGTACTATACTCCCAGGTTATGAAGGGCATGTTTGTTAGGCAACCAGATAAGCTGCTATAACAAATAGCCCCCAGATATAGTGACTGAGGCAAGACAGAAAGTAGGTTTTCTCTCAGGTGTCTGCCCAAAGGGATGAAGTCCAAGACTAGTAGTGTAGTTCTGTCCTTTCAGCACAGGTCTCCAGGTTTGGGTCCAAGGTGTTTGGGGCCAGGGAGGCTTGGACACTTTTAAAGGCAAGAACCCTGAAGCACACCCATCCCATTGGCCAGAGCTTCATCACATGGCAACATCAAACTGCAAGGGAGGCTGGGAAATGTAGTCCCTAACTGGGTGGCCACACTCTTTGCTCAAACTCAAGGGTTCTATTATTAAAGGGAAGAATGGGTCTTGTTGGAAAAACCAGGAGGCTCTGCCACAACCTGCAGACTATTCATTGGACTTTGAACTCTGGTCTGTAGGGGATGAGGTACTAGAAAATGGCCTTTAAGCAGGGAGGTTTTATGCTCAGACTCGGGTTTTAGTTCACTCCAGAGCCTTCCAGAGGCTTGCTCAGAGGATAAGAGGGGAAAAAATAGGAACAAAGGGACCTGTTTAGCTGCTGTCTCTGGAGTCCTTGCTGCAGGCATGAGTCAGGAGTCAGGAGGTTGGGCTCTCAGGTGGAGGACTGTTGGCACAGGGAACTGGCTGGGGCTGCCATGGGAGCCAGCTGCTGTCGGAGTCATTTGCTCATTCAAGCACTATTTCCCAAATGCATATCTGGTGCCGCGCCCCAGTGATGGTCCTAACAGGGGTGAGGAGTGCTGGGGCGGCTACAGTTCTCGCTGAGTTCTCCAGGGATACTCCAAGCAGAGTGTTACTTGGATACTCCAGTCTTTGACTGGCCATGCTGACACTGGCCTCTTTTGTTTGTTTCTCTTGGCCTTAGGATCCCCGGAGCAAACACAAGTTTAAGATCCACACGTACTCCAGCCCCACGTTTTGTGACCACTGTGGGTCACTGCTGTACGGACTCATCCACCAGGGGATGAAATGTGACAGTAAGTACATTTGCTCAGCGGCGGCCTCTGGTGACCGGGCTGCTTCCTCGTGGTTTGGGAGTCCGTGTCCACAGCACGTTCTCCCAAGTCCCGGCTGGGCTGGTGTGCGGATTGTCTGTTGCTGAGTAATGAGCACCCCCCCCCCCAAATCTGGCGGCATTGAAGATGGTGATGCTGGCTTCAGAGCCATTCGGGTAGGCACAGGTCGGACTCAGGCTGAACCCCGAGGCTTCAGGGAGGACGGACAAAGTCCCACCTCCTCTGTCCGTCCGGGCCTGGGGGTGGGTGGGGGTGGGAAGGGCTTGGAAGAGCCTTTCGGAGGACACCGGGCGGGAGGGCCCCAGCCTGAGCCGCGCCCTTCTCTGCCCTCGCAGCCTGCATGATGAACGTGCACAAGCGCTGCGTGATGAACGTCCCCAGCCTGTGCGGCACAGACCACACGGAGCGCCGCGGCCGCATCTACATCCAGGCCCACATTGAGAGGGAAGTCCTCATCGTCGTCGGTAGGTGGCGCTGGGGATCCGGCGCCGACTCCACTGGTCCGATCTGTGCGTTGGGGGAGGGGAAACTGCTGGAGGGATGGGCAGGGCGGGGTGGGGTGCGGGGAGGGGACTGCGTGACCCTGCCTCCCAACACCCCTGCCCCATCACAGTCTCTCCTGGCTGCAGGCACCTGCGCCGGCTGGAGCTCAGAAAGGCCCCACTCCACCTCTGCCTCTCCCTTTCCTACTCTTGCTCGGGGTGTGGAGTGTGCAGTTCTATTTCTTTTGTTAAGAAAACCTAGAAGGAATGCTTGGTGCTTCCGCAGACTTTCCCAGTGGGGAGAATAGCCTTGGTGACAAACACCAAATTCCAGATTGTGACCACTTGGGCAGGAGGTGGGGGGCGGTACCTTGTGCATCCCTGGGGGCTTTCTGTTTATTTGAAATAATTTTTTTCTTAAACCTGTCAGCGGCTACGTGGGTCCCTGTTCTATGATTCCCTATACTTTTTGCACTCCTGAAGTGTTCCCTAATAATAAGAAAGACGGATAATACAGCCAGTGGGAGGGGTGCAGGGGGACTAGGGGAAGACAGGAGCAGGGCATGTGTGGCTCTTGGAATGGAGCATTCTAGAACTACTTGGCTCTGGCATGTGAAGCCCCAGCAAAGTAGAAACCTGGCTTTGCTGGGCTCGTAAATACTCAGCCATAAAGCTACCGTAAACCCCACACTGAACCAGACAAGAACGGGACTAAAACTTCAGAGGAATTCTCTTCTTAAATGCTTGTGACACAAACTATAGACTTAATAACAAGTCCGTATAAGCAAGGTTTTATGACTGGGTAACTCAGGAAACTGATCACAAAAGGGATTGATTTTGCAAAACTTGGTCTACTTTTGAGTCCCCAGATTGGTTCGGCATCTCTGATGTGTTAAGCCCTGTGCAGGGAGGGGCTTCACTTACACCGCGTAAAACTCCAACAATATTCCTGTAAAATACAACCTTTGTTTTACGTTGGGGTTCGTGATACCCAGTGGGCTCTTGGGAAATGTGCATTCCGTTAAATTGCTTTTTCCTCCAAAAGAAAGGCAAGTGGCTGACTTCTTCCCATGGGGATGTTTGGGGGTCCCCCAGGGAAAAGCAGGCAGTCACTGGTTCTGGAGAGGAGGGTTTTCCTCCCAGGGATGTCTTAGCTTCCTGGTGCAGGAATGGGACAAAAATGAGATCCTGCTGCCCTCTAGTGTCCTTCTCTAGGAACTGTACTGGCTCAGGTCTGTCGCCGGTGACAGCAGACATTGAATAGAACTCACCCATCCTATACAGGACCTTACTTAGTATAATGCCATTGAAGCCCATCCATTGTTCCCACCAATCAATCAATCAATCAATAAATAAATATCATGTGATATGATAGAGGTGTTGGCTGATGCTGTGCAGGAATCAAATCATAACATAAATGTGCCCAATCAACATATCGTATGTGAACGTGCACAGTCATATGCCCATTACAGCTCAGTTGAAAAGCCTTCCACGCCATCTTTTTCATCCTCACGACAACCTTGTGAAATGTGTGTTATGCTCGATTTATGAATGAAAATGCTAAGGCTCAGGGAGGTTAGGTTTCTAAGAACTCACACCGTTAGTAACAAAACAATAACAAAGCCATAGCTAACACCAGAGTTCTTTTAAAATGTGTCCATCACTGTGCAAAGCACTTACGAGCAGTATCTTGGTTAAATTTTTTGAGCAACTTAGCAATGTGCTAAGTTGTAGCATTATCTTTCTACTTATCAGGAAATAGGCTTGGAAAGCCACACACTTCATCACCTAGGTCTGTTAGACTCTCTAGTATGATATACTAGGTTACTTTTTAGCTTGGTGTCCGCCGCTCCCCCCGCCACCTTATTTATTTCCTTTGTGGTTTAGCTAGGTTACCTCTTACGGGCATTTCTTGAGGAGTCTTTTTTTCTGATGTGGTACAACACAGTATCTCTCTTCAAATTCAAGGTCAGAGTCTTCCCCCTTCCTCACAGATCTGCTTGGGCATATCTTGATCACAAGCAGATGATTCTCTGGCAATCCTGCTATGTGCCCATGAACTGGGGGTATATAATCTCCCAGGCTGTGGTACTGAAATGCCACAAACTGGGCAGCTTGAAACAGCAGGAATTTATTCTGTAACTCTTCCGGAGGCTAGGAGTCTGGCATGAAAGTGTCAGCTGAGTTGGTTTGCTCTGGAATGCTCTGAGCAGTTTCTTCTGGTAGTTTCCATCAATCTTTGGTGTTCCTTGGCTTGTGGAGCCTGGTCTCTGCCTTCATCATCACATGGCATTCTTCCCTGTGTGTCTCTGTGTCCAAGTTTCGTCTTCTTATAAGGACACCAGTCATTGGATTATAGCTTCTCTAATCTAGTATGACCTCATCTTAACTTAGTCACATTTGCAAAGTTCTCATTTCCAAATAAGGTCACATTCCCAGGTACTGGGGTTGGGACATCACTATATCTTCTTTGGGGGACACAATTCAACCCATAACAAGGAGGTGAGTTGGGGCTCTTTTGTCGTTAGGGACAGAATATGTGCATGTCAGGGTTCTGAGAGCATTGATGAATTACCTACCAAGGTTTTCATAGTTGTGGTTTTCCAAGCACTTTGATCCTGGGCCATTCAGTGGAGAGGCAGTGTTGTTGCTGTCCTATGGAGGAGGAGCCCAAGATTCAGCGAGGCTGGATAACTTGCCCCATGTCACATGCGGCACGGGGGTGAGCGTCTGGGTATTGCGATGGCAGGTCACAGTGGCCCGTTGTGGCCCCTTCCCCATGCCCGGTGCAGTCAGTGCTGGGAGTGTGCTTGTTGCCTGCCTGGCAATCCAAGAACCTGGTGCTCTGACTGCAGTTCTCTAAAAATAGAGCCGAGATGGAGATTTTCATTCAAGTGAAATAAATCACCAATAAAGGGGCTGCTCATGGGGGAAGAGGGGTCGGGGCAGAGCAAAGAAAGCTAAGCGAGAAAACAGTCTCCCTGAAGACAAGCTTCAGCCCGATCCTTCCTCCTGCAGGGACTGGCCTAGCAGGGTGGGTCAGTGCTGGGGACCGAGCTGGGTCTCTCCCTCCCCACCACCCCAAGCATTCGTATGTTGAAGCTCTAACCCAGTGGGATAGTATTTGGAGATGGGGCATTCCTGAGGTCATTAGGGGTTGCTGAAGTCCTACAGGTAAGGTTCTCTGGTGAGATGAGTGGCTTTATAAGAAGTGGAAGAGAAATAGATTTCCCTCTCTGCACCATATGGGGGCACAGTAGGAAGATGGCTGTTTAGAAGCCAGAAAGAGGGTTCTCGCTGGGAACCTGATATGGGACTTCCCAGCTTCCAGAACTCTGAGACATAAATGCTTGTTGTTTAAGTCACCTAGTCTCTGGTGTTTTGTCAGCTGCCCGAGCTTAGCGGACAGTCGGTCTTTGCTGTAGGCTGCTGGGGTGGGAGGTGGGAAGGTGGGATCACCTCCCAGGCTAGGTGGCTTCTGTGTGGACCAGGACGACTGTCTGGACACAGGGGCAGCCGTGAGCCCTTAACAGCCAACATTCACAGCAGCTGGGGGGTGGGGGCATGGGGACAGTGTGGAGCGCCTGGATGTCCCTCCAGTCTCCCAAGCATCCTTCTGGTTTCGTGGCTGGGACTCCAAGCCCTCCTGCTTGATCTCAGACAGATGGATCGGAGAGGAGAGAGCCCTCCCTGGCAATGCTAGGCCAGATCACCTCAGTCCATCCAGACCGTAGATGCACGCTCGGTGTTAGGACTTTCCACTCACCAGCCCAGGATGCTTTGCCATTTGCTCTGACTGTTCTCTTGCTCTTTGGAGATCCCATCATCTCCAGAAGCAAGTCACAGCTGCTTCTGGAAGATCCGAAGGTTTCCTCATCTTTCTTGGCTCCTGAAATCCAGGCTTTATATCTACTGCCAGGGATCTCGCAAGTCAAGATCGGAATGGAAATCCAGTCAGCTCCCCCTCTTTTAAAAACCCATCAGTGGTTTCTCATTGCCCTCAGAACAGATAAACGTAATGTGGCAACCTCATTCTTGATTCTCTGTCTCTCCCTCCAGATTTTCTTTTAACCCTTCGTCCTGTCCGGGCTGCCCCCCACCTTTGGAATGCTGCACCTTTCTGTTCCTTTCGTGTGCAGTGTTTATCTTTGCCCTCTTGTCTTCTTCCCATGGGTCATTCTTCTCCTTCTTGTAGGCTTCAGCTCGCCTTTACCATCAGGGAAGCTTCCCCAAGCTTCCCACCCTTCTAGACGCTCATGGTATCTGAACTTGAGCTTGTGTCAGTGACGATCCTATGGTAGGTGGATTATGTCTCTATCTCCCACTGGACTCGAAGCTCCTTGACAGCGAGACAGCGTCTGCTTTGGCTCACACTCTGCCCAGCACCTCGTATGACGGATGTCACTAAATATGTGGGCGTCAGTGGGTGTATGTTTGAATGATAACACACTAGATGGATACTGGGACTTCCCAGATGACCCCCTAATCAGCGCTTCCTGAAGTGAGGAGTTGGAGTTCAGCAGATAACCTCTTTCACACGCTTATTCTTGTAGGGAGGAGACCTTACAAAAACTCTTAAGGACCAAGTCCCAGATAAACAGCAATTATTATGGAGACTGGGACCCACTCTTTGGAGGCATGACCACAGCAATTCCCTGGGTGATGCAGAAAAGACCCAGAGCAGCAGGACTTATAGAGTCATAGGAAACCACACAGACCTCATGGTGCGAGCGTTATCGTGGGAGCAGGCTGTGTAAGGTCGGAAGCGCACAGGAAAGCTGTACAGTGCTCCTAGAGTTCATAAAGCCCATGTCCCTACACATATGAACCTCCTTTCAATTCAGTATCTCTCTACTGACGTAACAACTGGTATCCCATTATTTACATTCCCACCTACGTTATGGCCATCTGCAAATCCTTAACCATGTCTTTATTTGTATCCATAATTGTATCTTATGAAAACTGGGGCTGTTTGGAAAGAA